TCATCTCTCTCCCTCTGCCCTCTGTCCAGTCTGTATTGTGACTCAATGGCTTCTAATAAATCCTATCAGCTTACAAGGCCTGGCAAGTGTAAATATCACTTCCAGAGCCATTAACATGTTAGTGTGTTGTTGGTGGGTCACTATCTGAGTTAGCAGTCTCTTGCAAATGCCGAAGAGCTGTGAAGAAAGGAAAACATTTCCAAAGGGCAAATGATGTTATGCTATGGACTGAATTGTCTCCTGGGTGAATTCACACGTTGAAGCCCTGGTCCCTGGTAAGATGGTATTTGGAGATGGGGCCTTGGGGAGGTAATAGGTCTAGATGAGGTTGTGAGGATAGGGCCCTCATGATGGGATTAGTGCCCTTATAAAAAGAGACACCAAAAGATTGAATTCTCTCTCTCTCCACCTGAGGAAAGACCATGTGAGGACACAGCAAGCAGGCGGCTGTCTGCAGCTCAAGGAGAGAGCCCTTACCAGACCCTGAGCCTGCCAGCACCCTCATCTTGGACTTCAGTCTCCAGAATTTCGAGAAATAAATTCCTGTTGTTTCAGCCCCCAAGTCTTAAACTTTGCCTGGCAGCCCTCGCTGACTAAGGCATGTAGTATGGTGAAAAGGGATGCAGTCAGCACCAGGAACCTGGCTCACCTCCTGCCCTCGCTTAACCTCTCCATGCCCGTTTCCTTTTGTGTGGAGCGGGGAAACGTGACTATCCTCCTCACTCCCGGCATCACAGTGTTGGTGTGAGAATCCAGGGGGAGGAGGCCTGTGGAAGGGCTTGGTAACCTGCCAGCAGAATTGCCTTTTGCTCTTCTCCTGAAGATGTTTACTTTCATGACTCAAACAACCTGTCATTGGAATCTGCCACTAGAGCTGAAATCCAAAAAGTGCATAGGAAAAAGAAATAAAAATAAAAATGGAAAAGAGGTAACTTAAGAGCTCTCCAAAATGTTTTTGCTTTAAAAATGCTGGAGGGTCAAACCTATGCATGCTCATTTTTTTTTTTTTTTTGGTGAGGAAGATTCACCCTGAGCTGACATTTGTTGTTAATCTTCCTCTTTTTTTTTTTTGCTTGAGGAAGATTTGCACTGAGCTAATATCTGTGCCAGTTTTCGTCTATTTTGTATGTGGGTTGCTGTCACATCACGGCTGACGAGTGGTGTAGGTCTGTGCCTGCGATCTGAACCTGCAGACCTGGGCCGCCAAGGGGGAGCAAGCTGAAATTAACCGCTACACCATGGGAGCAGCCCCCTGCATGCGAATTTTGTAAGTGAATTTTTATGCACTTAAAATTTGGTTTGATTGTTAAAAAAAATCTGACAGAGCTTTCAAAATCTTGTTTGAGTTCCTTTACTGGAACTCATGAAAAATGATTGTAATTCTATTTGTTTATGTTACAGGATTATTTTGTAGTTTATATATTTATGTTTTGTATTATATAGTATCCTCTATGATATTTGGGGGCTATTTATAGTGATGTACAAAATCTGACAAATAATTGGCAAAGCAGGGGACTAACATCTGAATGACCTGAAGTTAAAAATGGGACCTAGTTTTTGGATTGAACTTATCCTACGTCATCACAAATGGCCACTGCTGGCAGCGTGTAATATTTCAGCCCAGCCATTATGGACTTCTTTTCTGACTTTTTTTTCCAATGAGTTTTTTATTTTAGAGCATAGTTAGTTTTATAGAAAAATTGTGGAGCTAGTATGCAGAGTTCCCGTAAACCCCACACCTAGCTTCCCCTATTATTAACATCTTAACGTTGGTATGATGTATCTGTCACAATAAATGAACCAATTTTCATACATTATTACTAACTGAAGTCCTTCCTTTATTCAGTTTTCTTAGTCTTTAGCTCACGTCCTTTTTTGGGTCCAGGCTTCCATCCAGGGCACCACGTCACATTTAGTCTTCACGGCTCCTTAAGCTCCTCCCAGACTTTCCTTGGTTTTGATGACTTTGATAGTCCCGAGGAGTACTGGGCAGGTGTTTTGTGGAATGTCCTTCATTTAGGATTTGTCTGATATTTTGCTCATGATTAGACTGGGGTTACGGGCTTTTGGGGGGGAGACTCCTATAGACACTCTGATTATTTGAATTTGTGGATATTCCAGCAGAGAGTCAGATAATTCTCTGGCATAAGGAAGAATCTTTTGGCTTGAAGCACCATGGTCCACAGCAGACACCTCACAACTGGGGAAGTGCAGCAAAAGTAAAGAGAATCTTCCAGCAAAGCCTGTTCTTCTAATAGGCTTACCTAATCCCAAGATGCCACAGGTCTGTTCACTATCTTAAATCCTTTCTTTCTGAAAACTTTCAACACACACTGTAGTAAGTTTTCTGTGAGGAAATGACTTCTGGTGTTTTAATGGAATTTAATGGGAAAATAGTATCCATCTTACAGAAGTTCCCATACAGACAGCATCACTGAACCACATTAGATGTCTGAAACCCCCATGTCATCCTGAACATAAGTGCCCGATTAAGAACACGGGCTTTACATGCTGAAAAGCACTCTCATACTCTGCTGCCGACAGCATTCCCCTAGCAGGAGAGTCTAATCACGAAGGGTGGCCCACACCATCGCCGGGGATGCTGCTAGAGAGCGGAGTGAACATCAGCCTCCAGACCCAGGCCCTGTGGGCAGGCAGCACTACAGCTCAGGAGCACCAAGCTGGAGTGTGAGTCTAAGACACGGAGAAATCCTGAAATACTGCTCCCAAGAACTAACTGCCTTATTTAACTTTCTACCAAGGCTGTGCTGTCAGTGAAAGGAAAAACAACTTTCCAAATACAGAAAAAATATAAACGCTGTGTAATATGCATATGTGAGGTTTGGTGTTCACTGTTGATGAAAATGCCCCGATGTATGTGTGTTTATTTATTCAATCCCTTTATATCCCAGGACAATCCTTGGAATGATTCTGTGCTGTGCAGGTGTAATAATTGCTTCCATCTATTTAGAGCCTATCTCTGCTGACATACTCTATCTCATTTAATCCTATCTGTTGTAGATACTCAACATCCTCTTCTATAAATGAGGAAATTGAGGCTTAGAGAAGTTAAGTAACTTGCCGATGGATACACAGGTAAAGTCAGGAGCTGACCTCAAGGTAAGGACTGTTTGGCTCCAAAGTCACAGCTCCTGCTGGGTTAAACCACCTTTGTGTCAATGAGTTTACGGTCAGGTGCCACAGAACAACGTTTATGTCAACAATGGACCGCATATACGATGGGGGTCCCATCAGATTAGTACCATGTAGCCTGGGTGTGTAGTGGGCTGTACCATCTAGGTTTGTGTAAATACACTCTATAATTTTCACACAACGACAAAATCACCTGATGGCACATTTCTCAGAACGTGTCCCCGTCATTAAGTGACATAGGCTGTATTTCAAAATGTCCTCTGCAAGAGCAAGGACCAAGTCCTGTCTTTTCTTAATAGTTGGGTCTCACGATTGATGTCCATTCACATGACACATGTTTAATAATATTTGAAAATAAAGGATGTGGAGGATGTATTATTACTACTGATTATCACTGTCAAGGTAAAAAGAAATCAGTTGTCTCATCCTCAGCTCACAGGCCAACAGTAAGGGAAGGGATGGCCACTCAGCAGCCCTGTGACCTAGAGCTAGAGCTGAAGTGTCTTGAGTCTCCATGTCCTAAAATATAGTGTATTGATAGAAAATTTGAGGTATAGGAAGGCCAACAGATCAGGAAATGATCGCCATGGAGAAGATAGTTTGTCACAGTTCCCACAAGAAGGGGACATGCCACAGCTCATGGCGGCCACGCTGGGAAGCAACAGGGTCGGTCAGGAGGCAGAGGGAGAGGGGAGAGCTGGGGGCAGGAGACTTGATTGTGGTTTCCACGGGAAGGAACAGGTGAGGCAGGTCAACAAGCATAGGATTATCTCGTTTGAAGAATCTCAGCAGGCTCTGGGATGTGGGGCCATTCCTAGCTGTCTGGTACCAGGCTCCAGGGTGACGAGGGCAGGTGTGGTGTGACAGCCCCATAAAGGCGGTGGTTGGAGTGTGGGCTCTCCATCGGCTGGTTTGTATTTGAAAAATGCTCGTGGGAAGTTGTTTACTCTCTCTAGAAATTGGCTGACCCTGGGAGGTAGAGGCCCACCAGGGTCAGCAAGACCCCAAGATGTCAAAACACCAGAACAGAGAAAATAAAAGACGTGGTTGATTCACTCCAGTTGGAGGGTTCCTGGCCATTCATACAAATCTACCCATCAGCCAGTGGACGTGTCCAAATTCAGCTGTCAGCAAGGGAGAGGGGTCTTAATGCCTTGTAAGAGAACCCCTCATAATGGATGAAAAACAAAAACAAAATGAAAAAGCAGGGACAGCTGGAAGATCAAATGCAACGATCTGGTCCCAGACTGTCTGGGTTGCTTTAAAAGACCATCACCGGCTAGTGCTTCACAAGAGGGCGTGTCCCACCGCACAGACAGTTCAGCGACCAGCAAGCATTACAAAGTAGAACTGCAACTATGTCTCTTAAATTCAGTTCATTAGCGAGCTCCGTTCTGCACTCTAGTGCCTGTAGTACACACACACACACACACATTCATGGCAATGGTTTTCCTAAACGTGAGCTCAGCATGAGACACCCCCAGACCCCCCAACACACACCGTATCACACATTCTCCAGAGTCTGCGTTTAGTGGGTCCAAGTTGACAGGGCTGAAATGGGCCTTATTGTTTTTCTCACAAGCTCTGAAAGGCATCACAACAAAGCGAAGTTGGACCTGCCTGTTTTGACCTCACATCTTCCTTAACACCAGAAGTGGTATTTTCACATCCCACAGTGCTGTTTACTCCAGGAAGGGTTTTCTTCAGAGTCACCACAAAATCAAACACCACATTATCTCAAGTTCCAGCAAACACTTTATTCTCCTTGCTAACATTTCAACACTGTTGGAAGACAAAGCATGGACAAGTCCTTTGGCGACACACACGAATGTTTTACAAAGAGAGACGAGAAGTTGTGAGAGGATAGAAGTTTCCGTCAACCGTATTTCTGAGTACTTTTCTTGGGAAAGTCCCCAACCAAACTTGAATAAATTAGACACAGTGTCGATAGAAGTAAAAGAAGTAATCTGTGAAGAAGATCCCAGCGAAGTAAGGGTCCGTTGAACAGTCAGCTAAATCCTGCCAGAACAGGGGGAAGAGAGGACGGTTAACGTAAGCATCAACTGTCGTTAAAATGACTGATTGATTTACTTATTTATTTATTTAATGGTCCGTTTCTTTCTTACTGAAAAGAAAAAAAAGAAAGCTTACCGGTGCAGCCACTCGGAAATGGAATGCACTATCAAAGAAGGGGGCTACGGGGAGGCTCCAAACGTGCTGATACCCCTAAAGAACGAAGGAGGGAGAGATCCATGTCACCGCCACATTCCACACTCTTGGGAAGAGTCGAGGTGGAGACAGTCTTTCCTGACCACACGAGGAGAGCTGTCTGTGACAACAGCTCTCAACAGGGGTCGCTAGAACCATCTGCACTTCTGGAGGACACACAGGAGATGCTGAGCAAAGCTGTGTGACAGGGTCGGCCACCACAGGGAAACACTGGGGTTTGGGTCAAAGCGTCTCTTACTAGGGAACAGAGGCTGTGCCACAATTCTAGACACACCTCTGGAACAGGGACGTAAGGCAGGGGAGCCGGGAAACGTTACCTGTGTCATCTCCTGGGAGATGCCTTGCTGGCTCTGTATCCCTTTGGCTTCCGTTTTACTATGGAAGCATATATTTCCAAGGGTCAGTTTGCACTGGAAGACTATCAATGGCTCTGTTGTGCTTCAAGAGACAAAGGAAAGCAAGGGCACATGGAAAAGCAGTTACCAGCTCCCACCAGGCTCCACTTCAATGAGAAGAGGGTCTAATGGGAACCTAACTTGGAAATCCATTCAGAGTTCCAAATAGGCACCTTATTACACACAGCTCACTGAAGCCAATATGGTAGCTCACCTCTCATTAGAAGAGAAACAAACTCAATCTCACATGACAACTGTATAGACTGAATGTGTCCCCCCAAATTCGTATGTTGAAATCTTAACCTCCAATGTGGTGGTGTTGCAAGGTGGAGCCTTTGGGAGGGGATTAGGTCTTGAGGGTGGAGCCCTCATGAGTGGGATCACTGTCCATATAAAAAGGACCCCAGAGAGCTCTCTCTTCCTCCTGCCACGTGAGGACACACCGAGAGGACGCCGTGTATGAACCAGGAAGCAGACCCTCGCCAGACACCAAATCTGCCAGCGCCTTGATATTGGACTCCCCAACCTCCAAAACTGTGAGAAATATATGTTTGTTGTTTAGGGCACCCGGTCTATGGTATTTTTGTTATAGCAGCGCGAATGACTAAAACAACTACTCAGATGGCATGTGACCATCTCTAAAACCTACTCTCATGACTTAAATCACCTCAACATCAGAATTTTCTTATCTCCATAAATTTTAAAATAATTTTTGGATATATCCCTTCTCTTTTCACTGGCAGCTGAATCTGCATTGATCTGAAGTTTCCAGGATTCAGATTCTTCAAACACCTGGTCTGGGCAGCTATGGGTTGAAGAGGCAAGGGAAACAAACACAGGCAGGGATGTGGGTGAGCCTAGTAGAAAGTACCGGCACTTGAAGCTGTCAGAGTGGAGGCCTGTCAGAAAGAACGGTTCTTCTCAGGAGGCTGGCCCACTAACCATCACCATCAGAGGAGGAGATCCGTCTGCCTTTGGAAACAATCTTTTTGCACAAGAGGGACAACCTACAATCTTAGTTCAGTATATGTGTTATTTTAAAATCACCCATATTAGAAAAATGGTCCTTAAACTAAAAAGCCTGATTCAGTGGCTGAAGACGATCTTCAGGGGATATACCACTTAAGCTTCCTTCCCTCTGTGGCAGCTGGGGATGGAGGAAGCCCTGCTCCAGGTTACTCGGGCTGCACTGGAGAAGGGCTCAGCTTTTGCTCCGCCTGCAAATGCGGTGGGTTCTGAGTCATGAAGTATTAGCTGCTTGAAACAATCTTTCCAAGGCAAGCAGCTGTGTTGAGTGTCACTAGCTGATTGCGAGGCAAAGTTGATGAGTGAAGGAGTATGAGGCCTGAGTGACGCGGAGGAAGAGACGGAGCTGGGGAAAGGACGGAGGAGGGTAGCAGAGCTGGGGAAGCAGGACAAGTGAGGGCAGGACAGGGGTGGGGAGAGGACATGCAGAGGAGGGAGGAGGAAAGCCCCAAACCGAGACACAAAACAAAAGCATCTCTCTTCATAGTGAGGAGCTCATTGCTTCATATTTGAGTGAAGTGGGTTGAAAGTCTTAAAGTACAGTAATTATTTAAAATATCTGGGCCGGCCCCGTGGCTTAGTGGTTGAGTGCTCGCGCTCCGATGCTGGCGGCCTGGGTTCGGATCCCGGGCGCGCACCGACGCACTGCTTCTCCGGCCATGCTGAGGCCGCGTCCCACATACAGCAACTAGAAGGATGTGCAACTATGACATACAACTATCTACTGGGGCTTTGGGGGAAAAATAAATAAATAAAATTAAAAAAAAAAATAAAATAAAATATCTGATAAGAATAGATTAAATTCAAATTTTGTGGTTTTGGAGGAAAGGTAGTCATAATAAAAGCTACCACTTATTGAGTGCCCCTTGTGTGCCAGGAAGAGGCAATGTTCCTACACGTCTCACCTCATGGGGAAGGCGGGAAGGGATGGTTTAAAGTTACTAGTTGTGAGTTTTGGGACAGGTTTTTGACCTCCCTAATCCCAAGTGTTCCCATCTGAAAAATACATACTCGAAAAAAAGTACCATGTAGTGAGGATTGTATGACCCACATTAAAGTGTAGAGTGTCTGGCGTACAGTCTGTGCTCAGCAAATGGCGGTTATTAACTTCACTATTATTAACAGTGACTCCCACAGCAGCTCTACTTGTTATGGTAAAATATCAAACCCATTTTATAGATGAATAAACAGTAGCTCAGAGAGGAGGAGTGGTTTCTCCAAGATTACAGAATTAGTAAGTGACAGAGACAAAATTTGAGCCCTGGTCTCCCCAACTCCAAACTCCAACTCCTTTTTCAGCCCCCCCGGGAGAGGGGGTGGTGTCTGCACTGCTACCAGGAGCCCACAGAAAGGTGCAGCCCCGCCCAGGGGCCGTGCTGTTACTCTGGTTCCCGTCCCATTCAAAGGGACACAGCCAAGGGCAGTCTGCAGCTTGGGAGCATCAAAGCCAAGGTCACTGCCCCTTTGCAGGTGTGAGCGTGCAGCCCAGAGCCTTTCCAGTCCACCATAGGGAGCCTGGGTGATCCCAGCCCTCGCTCTGAAACCCCCTCCCTCAAGCTGGCCCATGTCTCAACCCAACAGCATTAGTTAACACGGATTGACAGCCTTCTACCTCCTGACTTTCTGATCAGATTGTAAAGTAATTCAGACCGGAATCCAAATCATGATGGAAACTGGACTGTTTTTTACACACTTACTTGATTTCCAGAGAGAATTTGACATTGCTGGGTGTGTACTTATTAACCGGAATATTGTAATTGTAATTTCCAGACCTAATTATGGAAAAAAATAAAACCACAAATCAAAATTTGCAGAAAAGGCTTCAAATGGCTTTTTGCTACTCATTATATACCATGTAAACCGTGAAATATTCTGTAATAAATAATAAATACAGAAAATCAAGTTTAACATGGTATAGTTTTATGTTTTTCAGAGACATACCTGTTAAATTTCAGAGTGATCTCTTTCAGGTCTTAGTATATAAAATACACTACAAAGATTTATAGTTTGTTAGAACACACGGATGAAATGATGGAACAGTCAAATTGTAGACTGAACGCACCAAACGAAACACATAGGAAATGACATCAATTCCCCTTGAGAAGGAACAGACTTCACAAGACAGATGAGGCAAAGGCCTCAAACCAACAATCCCTCTGGGAAGGAGGATTGCAAATCATGAATCCCAGCTTTTCTATCATAAATCACTCCGTTTTAGGCAACATTAGCAGGGAATATAATGTGCTTTCAGAACTTGAATCAACTCATATCGTTATGGTCCTAATTACCATTTAGTAATGGAGAAACGCTCCTACAGAGATTTCCCCCCTTCAAGAGAGATACTTGGGGAAAAAGGGGAGATTCTTTGATTCACATTGTGATGAAAACTCCAGCAAAAGGCATATTGTATCTAATACAAGTCTTTATGACTTGGCCATCCCTTGAATTATGTGGAGACACAACTTAAAACCAGATAAAAGGGAAAAAGAGCCAGTCATTTTAGATTCTCTTTAGTGAATACTAAACTAAGTTCTTAAAAATGAGAAAGCAAAAATAAATGAAATAGATCTGAATTGGGATCAGAAGAACTTTGTTTGACTGGGGGAAGCTGAGATAAATGGAATTCACTTCCCACTGTGTGGATCCCCACATCTTCAAGCTTCACGGCAGCCCAGCTCAGTAGACAGTACCTCCACCCTACAGACAGAGAGGGACGCGCAGACAGTAAACATCTCGTCGCAGCTCTGGGATCTGAACCTGAGTCATCTCACTCTTCTTCATTATGTCACCCTACCACGTTCATGAACGTCTGTCTGCGACTTTTTCAAGCTCACTGAACCTCAGGTTCCTTAAGGACAAAATGGGGATAAGTAATGGCAACCTCACGGGGATTTTGTGAGAATTCAGTGAGATAATGCATGCAAAGGTCATAAACACATCATAAAGCACCATACCATCTGTTTTTAAAAGTCAAGACCATCAACTTGAAGCCCAAGTTATGTAAGGTTGAAAAAGAAAAAAGGCTGAGCACCCACAGGGTTTGTGACACCAGTTCCAGATACAGGGCCTTGCCTTTCACCTGGCAAATACTCACCAAAGAAAGAAAACTCTCCCCGTTCTCAATGCCTACAACTTGCACTCTGTGCTCGCGGAAGCTTCCTGCACCCCCTCCTTCTAGGCGCACCACTACCTCGGTGCAGGTGGCAAGGTGCACGCTAGGGATGGATGCTGCCGGCAACTTGCGCAATACCTGGATTGTTTCTTCCTAACTAAAAAAGCTAAGATAAGCTATATTTTTTCAGCAATTAAAATAATGATATCCCTTGTTATTAAAATACACAAATGTCAGCTCTCTCATAACTCGGAGCCCTCAGTAACAACGTCTTTCTTGTCTATAGAATTAACTAGCAGCTCTGCTCCTGTAGGATGTGCCCTCAGAGAGTCAGCCACACAACCGCCCCTAAGCTTTCTGCTTTGGACTCATCCATTAAAGCAGGAGACTGGCACCCCGGGAGCCGTGGTGACTGACATTTGCTAATACCAATCGTTGTATGATTCCCTCTTCCGCCGTGGAACCGATGTGTTTTCACTTACGGAGCACTGTAAGCGCCGTGTAGCTTCAGCTTTCATTCCAGGCTCAAAACCCCAGAGCCCTGAGCAAATTCCAGACACAACGGGAGTACAATGGGGGGCTGACCCACCTGCACTGGAGGCCTGTACTGCAGTACCGATGGTCTATTACGTGCTGGATTTCCATAATCTGAATAGAACTGATGGTTGTATCAATCCCTGAATTGAGAAGAAAACGAGAAAAGAAAGTAAACTCTCCTGCAGAGGAAAAGAGTGTTGCGCTCCAGCACAGTCCCCAAATTGCAGAGTGTGAAATAGGAGTTTCCTAATAAATGGATTCTATTTGCATTCAAATGGAAAAAGAAGGAGAAGGACAGGGAGAGGCTTTTGTTGTTGTTATAGTAAATTTTAAGACAACTAATAAAAATCCAGGCTCCAATAGACAGCCCCATAACATCCAAAAGAATTTCTGGACCATGGTAGTCCCACTAAATTGAAATTTATTGAGAATGGAGAGTGCAATGTGAAATGCAATCTGGCTAATAAAGCTTTAAAAAATCACAAAACACAAAAATAGAGTCAGAAGGGAAGAAGAGAACAGGAAGTTCAACCGAGTTATGAAACTCCTCGGAGACCAACCGCAGCTTGTCTGTTGGTGAGCGACCATTTCCAATGCCTCCCGAGTGGTTCGGCGGCATGGATCATCAAGACCTAATCCCATAGGTGTTGGCAGCAGTGCAGCCTTGTGCCCGTTCCCCGTTCCTTACTCTGTTAATGCTTTATAGCTGCTCGTCACTCACCTGGCCCCACAAAACCAAAGAACAGAGTCGCTTAAAGGTAAACTTACAATCACTCCCCCAGTCGGGGCTGGTTGGCGCATCTCCTGCCAGGAATGACGTGCTTCTGTCTTCTGAAGAGGAAAAAGGTCCGTCAGTCTTTGAGGCTTGGCCAGGATGAAAAGAAATCCATCTCTGTCAGTTGAACGTCCCCCGCGTCTCTCTCCCACCTTTTGGCCCATCCCATCACCACCCCATTTCTCACATTCTCACCCTTCTGCAAGAGGCAATCTGTTTGGGGCTGAATTGTGTCCCGTGATTTCTCGGGTTGAGGCCCTAACGCCTCAGACCGTGGCTGTATTTGGAGGTTGGGCTGCTACAGAGGTGAGGAAGTCACCACGAGGCTGTCAGAGTGGGCTCCAGTCTCACCTGACCGCTGTCCTTGTGAGAAGAGGAGATTAGGACACACAGAGGCTCCAGGGACGTGTGCGCACAGAGGACACAGCGAGAAGGTGGCCATCTGTGAGCCAAGGGCAGCCTCAGAAGAAGCCAGACCTGCCCACGCCTCGATTTTGGACTTCCAGCCTCCATAAAGAAATAAATTCCCGTGGTTTAAGCCCCCAACCTGTGGTATATGTTATGGCCGAGTGATTCTGACACCATCCCAGAGGAGACACCGCAGCCCCCAGCTCCCTGTCCAAGGCCACAGCGTTTATTACCAAACCATCTATGGGGATATCTGTCACTATATGGAAGGCATGCTATCTCTGTGTTATTACTTCACTCTTCATGTATTTTTGCCCTTTCTCAACAACTCCAGAATAGGGAACCTCTATTAAAATTGAATAGGGAATCTCTACTAAAATTTTTTGACTCCTCTGTAACTCCAGCATAACGTGCTCGACATGGAGAAAAGGCCGGCTTAAAGCCCAGGTTACTGGTGTGGAGCCAGAGCTTGCTTGTGGGAAGGAAGCCAGGGAGTGGTTTTGCCCCCATCATAGCCAAAAAGGCATTTTAAAAGCAATTTTGAAAAGGTAACCATTCAGATGATTGTTGTTAAGTCTATCAAAAAAATGCGTTTTTAAAGTGGATAGTGAAAGCAATCTTTTAGTGGGTTGCTAAACAAACAATAAAAGAATTTTAATGTTTTTGCAGTCACGTTTTTTAAATTTGCAGATTTTTTCAACTTATGTATTTTTTATTGCCTTCATTCATTTGCATTAAACAATCTAATATTTATGTTTTTCAACATAGTTTTGGACAAAACATAAAGACAGTAACAAGAGACATAAGTTAATACAATGTGAGCTGCTTTCATGGGAAGAAGAAAGTGGCAAGTTCTCAAACGACTTTCCGTATGGAACTTCAGGAGAGAAGGCAGAAGCCCCCGCACACGTGAGTGGGGGCGGTCACTCCTAGGTCAGTCTGTCCTGGTCAGTTCTTCTCACACAGGGTGGAAGGGCTCCTTTACCTGTCTGCAAACCTGACCGTGAGCTCCTGGAAGACTGCATCCTGCTCACTGCTGCTCCCCCAGGTAGGGCGACACTGAGCTCCAGGCGGGGCCTCAGTGAATACTTATGGAAGGATGGAAGGCAGAGAGGCAGGGAAGAAGAAGGAAGAGGAGAAGAAGGCCAACCACATGATCTCTAGGAAAATGTTTCCTCCGCACACTCAAAGGGGAAATTCCCAGGGGTGGGTGCAGAGGGATGCTGGGAATGGATGTGGGACGCTGGCTCCTTCAACCTATTAGCAAATGGGGGTGAGACTGAAGCTGAAGGAGAGCAAATTCCCTGAGCATCCTCCCAACATGGTGCTTTCCATTAAGAAGAAGTGGATCTTGAGGATTTTCTAGAAAATTGAATATTTATTTCCCTTTACATATGAATATAAGTGCTGTCTACAAGACCTCCAGATTTCTCGGATTCCAGCTGCTCCAGTAATAACTTTCAAGCACATGTCTCCTGCTATGAGTTTTGCTCATGATTGCTTCCACAGAAGGCTGGGAATGGACATGGCACAAAGAGAAGGGGAAGCCAGAACTTCTCTACCCTGTCTGTTTTCTTCCCCCACCTTTTGTTCTACTTTCCTGCTGAATTTGCAGGAAAAGGGCTCATTATAGATTCTGGCAATAGAACTACAGAGTTGTCTCACTTCCACAGAAGCGTGTTTTCAGGTTCCTGGAGACACAGAAACCTATGATAGGATTTAGTATCTGATGGGGTAACAGTATTTTTTTAACAGTAATAAAAAGGTGAAGTTGAGAAGAGAGAAGCTTGCAGATTAAAATTGCAAAAATGGCTTTTCAAAAGCAGGATTGGAAATACCAAATTTTAAATCTCCTATAAAACACCTCCAATTTGTCACTTCTCTGAAGCAAGACTATTCAATTCCAAGAGGCCGGTTATTGGAAAACCATAAATTCTCCTGCAGTTGTAGAGGAGTGGCTCTCATTTTTCAAATGCCTTCCTGCGATAGTCACTATAAACTTAATACACATTCCCAGGGGTTTTCCTTGTAAAGCTGGAGATATATTTCACAATCGGCAAATGAGATCTCCCAATAAAGTAAATTAGAAACTTCTGGAGAGGAGAGATTTAAGATGGTGTCCAACCTAAGCGTAGCCTGTTGTGGTAGATTGCACGATGTGTAAAACCGTGTTGATGGCTGAATTCCAATACAGCATCTTGGATACCTTTATCCTTTCTGATTGAACCAAACTCAAGCCAAGAAAAAGTCAACGAACCCAACCAATCGATGACTGAGTCCTTGAACACGGGGAACCATTTTCTTTTGGCCATTTGCTCTTCTCAGGGTTCTGGTTTCCAAACAAAATAAGCATGAATTCCAGACGCCTTTATGCTTTGTGAGATTTTTAAAATCTTTGCCAAATGTCTTAAACTCTGTAGAATTCCATCGATGTTTTTTCCTCCACAGGATCTTTACTGTCTAATATCTAACTCTGCTGTCTATTTAAATCTTTATTGGTTCCACAGATTAAAATCTAATCCATCACATTCAGTCAGTTCTTTACGGCAGAAGCTCAATCTTCCAAAATACCCACTTTTGACTTCCTGGTTGGTCTTACTCAAACCTTTTATTAAAGGGAGAGGAAGAGGATGACCTTTCTGAAAAACACTTCACACAACCAACTTAGGACCCAAGAATGATGGCCCGAGCCCAGCATGTCACAAAAATGCTGATTTCCCTTCATTTATATCACAAGTAGACTTACCTTCAGGAAACAGGCTCATAAATGTTTTCTGGGGCTTGGTGAATTCTTAGATATGACTCTGCATCCCACTGAGAGTGTTTTTAAGCTTTTTTTCTTAACTCTTGAACTTCTCTTTTATTTGTATTTTTTTGTGTGTGAGGAAGATTAGCCCTGATGTAACATCTGCTGCCAATCCTCCTCTTTTTGCTGAGGAAGATTGGCCCTGGGCTAACATCCGTGCCCATCTTCCTCTACTTCATATAGGACCCCGCCAAAGCAAGGCTTGACAAGCTGTGTGTTGGTCCACGCCCAGGATCCGAACCTGTGAACCCCAGGCCAGCAAAGTGGAGCGCGTGCACCTAACCGCTACACCACCGGGCCAGCCCAACCGCGCTTATCTTTTAAGCTCGTGAGGATTAAATGACTTATTCATGTAGACTTCTTATGGACAGTGCTTTTGCACACAGTGATACCTCATTGCATCGTGATGATGGTGGGGATTTGTAAGAATTGTTTATTCAAGACTATGATATGAAATAATATCAAAAGGAAAAAGAAATTACATTGCTGCCCCCAAACTTCAACCCCTGACCATACTCTACATGTCAGTCATCAGGGGTGCTCAAAAATTCTGTGGTTCATCTTCTTCCAGGCACAGGTTAGGTCTGCACTGTTTGTAGACTGGACACGGCCAATATCACCCGCTTTGGCCAGTGAAGCGTAAGCAGAAGTGTCCTGTGTTCCACCCGGGGAGAAGCTTTAAGCCAGTATACTATTTGCCTCATTCTCTTACCACTGCTACAGTGATCGTGGAAATACATATGGAGAGGGAGTCTCCACAGCTGAGTCCCGGATGAAGTGATGAGCAGGAGCCCTCTTTTGATCCACATTTGACATACAGAGAGAGTCAGGAATAAATTTGTGCCACATGAAGTCACTGTGATTTGGGAGTTGCTGTCACCACAGCACCCTAACAGATAAGCCATACTAATTGTAGGTATTGCTATTATTAGCATCATCATTATTATTATTTCAGATGCTTGTTAATACGTGTGTATACAGAAGGAGATTTCTGAAAACAATAATAAGTTAGTATACATTGTATTTGATCTTACAGAGATAATAACACTTTTAGCCCTTGATCAGGTTTCCACAGTTTTTTTAACATGAATGTTCTGTTACTTAAAAAGCATGTGCATGTGTGTGTGCACACGCACACGTGTGTGTCTGTGTCCCTAGGAGGGAGACGGAGAAGACACTCTGAAGGTGGAATGCCAACCTGACGTACAGCTCACCCTGAACTCATCGGGGTCCCCAAAGCCTTTAGGTCTTGCCCCACCCGGTTTGGGCAAAGAGCCCAGATACCACATCTAAGTATAATGAGTGAGCCAAAAAACCTACCCATCCGCACGCAATCACTTCGCTTGCACTACTATTACTGTCTATGTTGGCAACAGACAAATGAGACCATTTGAGTTGAATCAACCAAAATTTCATCCCTGGGCAGGGAGCTCAATATTATAGACGATCACAAGTTCATATATTTGTGTTTTTAAAGATGTTGCCGCCCCAAATAGAAGAGTGGAACCATTGTGTGGAACCATTGACAGGTGACCCATGTGAATTCTGACAAGGGAAACCTCAGGTCCAAGAGCTGGCTGTTCCTCTTTGGACATCCTTTACCTGCCCACGGCATCTCACCCAACTCCTCCTTGGACTGTCTTTGCACAGGACTGGTGAGGACTCCTGTCTGCCTCCAGACGGGGCAGCAGTATGTCTCCTGACACGGCAGGATCTCACAGAAAGTGATTTCTGGCACGTGGAAGGAGGACTGTGTGGTTGCCAGGGATGTATTCGGTGCTACAAGGCCTGGGCAGAGGAGGGGGGAGCCACATGGTTAACCTGAAGGATCGGTTCTCCTGTTGACGGTTCACGAGGAACTCAGGCCGGGCTGAGCGTGCGGAACGTGCAGACCTTACCTGAGGGGGAGGCTGTGGGCGGCAGGGCTGGCTCCTGAGAGCCTGTGGTGTTGCTGGAGGAGGAGAGCACAATGATTAAGGAAGGAGACCGTCCAGAATCCTTCTCCCAAGGGAAAACAAGACCGGAACTCACCTCGGAGGGAGATTGGGGGCAGCTTGGTCTTGACCTTTTAAGCTGAGTATGTAAAGGCAGACTATCGTCAACGCGCTGTTGAAAAATAAGAAGAAAGCATTAGGTGCAGTTGATTGCAGATGCATCTCACACAACCAGCTGCCAGCGATGTGCTCACCCAGGCCACACAGATGGTGGGGGAGCTGACAGAAGCACACGGAGGCCCGCACAGCTGGGCCTCCCTGGCCTGGTGAGAAAGGCCCGGTCTGTTGGCTCCTGGGGGGAGGCTCAGAGGCTCCTGGGGGCTCCGCGCTGAGAGGTTTTCCCAGAGGGCAGCCCCTGGCCCTGGCAAGCTGTCTCAGAAGCATCCGTCACTAGTGGAAGATTCCAGGAGGAAGCGTGGAAATCGCTGGAGGCAGCCCTTTGCTCCTTGCAGGAAAAAGTGGGAGCAGAGTTCACTCCCCCTGGCGGAGGGCGTCACCTGGGGCGCCGGGAGATGAAGGAGCCCAGGGTAGCCAGCTGTACTGCTGGCCCCTGCGGCCACTTCTATCTTCCAGCTGCCAGTGTTTTCAGAGCACAGTGCACTGACTTGGACAGAGGAAGGAAAAGAAATGCAACAAAGCATCCATTTCCACACTAGGTGACTTCAAAATAATCAGTATACCCCCACCCCAATTATCAGAACTCATATGTCTGAATGGAAGCTCTCCTTAAAGGTTCTGAGCTTTGGGAAGCTGCTCCCAACAACTCTCCCTCGTGCAAACACAGCTCTCTCCTCTTCTGGGGGCGTCTCTGGAACTCTCTCACGAGCCGCACGAGAGTCTGCTGTGACTCCACAGCCCCACTCTGCGGGGGCCTGATGCACGCGGGGGCCGAACGGGGCTACTTGCCAGCTTGACCTCACACCTGGCTCCCTCGACTCAACTCCTCACCATCTGGTTCCCCTTTGAAAGTGGTGAATGTACCACCACTAAATATACACACGAAAGTGTGACGCCCCTTCGACTTCACTCACAAAGAAAGACTTTCCGGAGCAGCAGCTGGCTCCCACCCAGCAGGTACAGCCAGCCGGCAGAAGTGGTGTGAGCCCAGCGACGTGGCAGAGGGAACGTGCTGTGTCGCCCTGGCAACTGCTTGCAGTGGTCCACTCTCCCACGTGCCCCACTCTCTGTCTCCCTATTACTAACCCTTAGATACTGCTTCTGATTCGTGTCCGGCGTCTGCTTCAATGCACAGCCCAGAGAACTTCTGCTTGCAGGATGAAATGCACATCTGCTCCTTTCTTTGGGGGCAAACTCTGGCTTTGACCCTTCTCAGGTACACCACAGGCCAGCAACAAGAAAACAAGCTTACTGTCTCCCGCTATGGTCTAGTGGTCAACAACATTGGAGTTCATAAGATCTGATAAGCACGTTTAAGAAGCAGTCTCTTTCCATCGGAGTTAGACCTCCTATTACTGTTCGTTGGGTTTTCATGGGAGGCTCTCTAGAGGATGTGAAGTATATCTGTGAAAGGTAGAAGCTCACACTCTCCTGACTTGGGAATCCCAGCAGAAGACAAGCTCACGTGGGAGAGTGAGAAAAGTGCAACGGGAATTCCAGTGGGAATTCTGTGGGGTGGGGTCACATATGTGGGGTGCTTCTCACAGTGGGCAGTAGCAAGTGAGAAGTGAAGATGCCATGGGGAGAGAAGGGCACAGAGAGACCCACACTGTCCTCTACAGCCAGAAGCTGCTTGAGATCCAGCACCGGAAGCACCTTGGCACCATCCCTTCCTTTGCCTCTGGGAACGATGGTCTCCCCTGAGACGTGGCCCAGAGGCCAGTCCTTTCCACACTATCAAAGCATTTTTCAAAGGATAGATATGACCATGTGAATAGTCAGACTAAAAACAAGAAAGCCAGGAGGACACAGCAAGATGACCAGGGCTCAAAAGCTGAGGGGCCGTCAACACAGCCGCCCAAGCTCAAAGACCAGAGGCCTGAGAACGTCTCCTACATCCCTGTAAGGGACAGCCCGCCTCCCTGCAGAGGGCAATGGCGGTCAAGAGGCACTCAGTGCTCACACAGCAAACACTTTTGTCCTTCTTGTGTTTGTTTTCTTTAACTGCTTGGCAAACTTGGCTATACTTTCACCATATTGTACATTGTGGGGTAATATCCTAGTCCTTTTGGTGTGAAGTCTCCACTAACGAATCCAGAAGAATCCTAATAAATATGAGTGTCCAGGGGAGAGCAGATTTTACCTGATTGCTTACTCACTCTTTTCCCCCAAGTAGACAGGAGGGAGAACAAAGAATTTGAGAAAGTTATTCAAAAGACTCAAAAAAATACACAGACACACACACGTGAAAGGCACAGCCAGCTGTTAAAAAATATCAGTTGATTGAAAAAAAATCATCCTTCGTCTCACACATCAGTGCAAAAAGCCTGCTTTTCTTCAGAGGATGAGTTCATCAAGGGCTCCTTCGTCGCTAAGCTGAACCAAAGGTCAATGCTGTTTAAAGGGCTCCTTGTCTTCAAAGTAAATAGAAGGTCAGCACCCTGTTCATACATGAGAAAGGAAGACAGGAAGGAAAAAGAGCTTGACATAGCATAACAATGAGGTTTTCTTACCAAAATGCCATCACAGCAATGAGACTTATAACCAAGGTCTGGAAAACCCAGTTAGGACACGACTGTTTTTCTCCTGAAAAATAAACCTATAAAAAGATTCAGTAATGAGCAGTGATAAATCAGTGACTAACTGCGAGCAGGATGCCAGGCTGCTCCCAGCGGGATCCTTGCTGCTCCCCCTGGATGGTGGTGGCTCTTCAAGCTCCCTCTCCCTCCTCCCTTCCGTCTCTCTCTAGAACATCTCTAGCCCCTCCCTTTCCTTGGCACTCGAGGCTACAGTAATCTCTCTTTCCCCGACCTCCTGCAGGACGGGCATCTGTGCCATGCAGTCAGCGCTTGTTCTTGAAGTTTTATGAGAGAAGAGGATCTACTGGACAAGATCCTGTCAGAACATGTCCATCTTTTCTAATAGGACACTTCTGAAAATCGAAAGGTCTTTGAAGACCTTTGAAGACACGATGGCATAAATCCCAGTGGAAGAATTTCAGGCATTGCGACCAACGTGGAAAAGATTCTTGTGGCAGGCAATACTATTAAGTGCTCCTTAAATCATACACATTGGTACCCAATTCTGCCACCTATCATTAAGGACAGTTCTGGCCTGTGTCTCACTTATTCTTTTATCCATTCAACAAATATTCATTAAGCACCACTATGTACAAGACTGTAGGGGATATAAGACTCAGTAAATTACGGTCTCTAGGAAATGAAGGAGGCAAGCCTTTAGGACCGATACACATTGGCATAAAGACTTCTGGGAGTACTGGGGCGAGAACACCGGACAGGCAGCTGTGCAGTCCCCAGGGCGGGGGGGTCCGTCAAAGAGACAGGAGAGGCCTCTGCCCATGTAGACAAGGTGCTCCTTAAACACGAGTTTTCCCGCTAATGTGTAGGGAGCATTAAGTTGCTTCCTCCTGGGGTGCAGGGTAGAATCATGCTTACTAGTCGGAAGGGAACTGGAGGATGGTGATGGTTAAGAAATAGCTTAACATTGGTCTTTCTTTGAATATCTTGGGCTGGTTGTCTGTATAAAGAAAATGTTCTTCAATATAATATTGGGGGGTGGAGAGGGGATTAACCTTTTTCAATGAGTACCCACACACTGAGGGCTCTTGTGACTGAGTCATCCCTGAGCGCAGCTGGAAGCTACTGTGAACACCAAGAAGTGAAAGGTTTGCACCATTCCTGCCCCTCACGGGAACTGTCCTGAGGTGTCCTAACAGCATGCGGCCAAGGAGGAACTCAGTGAAATTTGTCGAGTCGATTAGAATCAAACAGTTATCAGTCTCAGGATAAGCACTCCCCTCTCCAACCTACTCCCCACACTGCTAGATTACTTTCAATCTCCACACTTCTGCTCAAAATCTTTTGACCTTGTTTAGGGGATGGCCTAAGACCTGGAGTCAGACCTAGAATCGAGTCCTGAACAAGTCGTCTAAATGTCATCTATCTTCATTTTCCTCATCAACAAAGCAGGAATGATAAATAATACCTGCCTGCCTGTCAGAGTTATCGAGTGGATCCAATTAGCGGTGTAATGGTTCTCAAATTCACGTCTGCATGAGAATTACTAGGGAGCTTGTTAAAAACCTAAACTCCCTGAAACATTCTGATTCAGTAGGTTTTCACTTGGGGTGGTGTGGAGGCTGGGAATCTGTAAGAGGTGGGGTAATGGAAAGGATCTGTGTTCATTCCTTCCTTCTCCCCTCCTCCACACAGAGTGACGCTCCTGGGAGACTCTGATACGTGCCAAGTTTGAGAATCACTGAATAGTGGGCTTGAAAACATCGACGTGGTGAACACTCACAGTGCACGCACGACGTGCCACAAACCACTAAGGCACTTACTCCTCACAACAACTCTCAACAACCCCATGAGGCAGGTGCTGTCATCTCCACTCCAGAGATGGGGAAAAATGAGGGCCAGGAGGCTAAATTCCTCACCCAGGATCACACAGCCGGAAAGTCACAGGGCCAGGCTCAAACCAAAACACATTCGGCCCCAGAATCTGTACTCTTAACCTCAGTGCTGTGCTGCCTCCCTTTTTCTGTCTGTAAAAGAAGGAAACACTACACAACTCAGATCTTATTGTTACTATTCAAAAGATCCCACGGCTTACCAAATGAACTCCTTAACCAGGTGACCCGGACACTGAGCCTAACCTGTATTCCAGCTTTATCTCCTCCCTAACCAATGCCCACCCGACCCTTCAGTGAAGTCAGTCCAGCTCAGACATCGCCCGTGTCTCTTCACCTGAAGCCTCTCCTGCAGCCCTGTTCCTATCAAGCAGAAGCCCGCTCATCCGTGAAGCCCGGCTCCCGCATCACTCGGGCAGCACTCTGATTGAATCCAGCTACAACGGCTCTTTGTGTTTTCTTCTGATCTTCCCTGGCTACCCTTGGGAGGAGGGCCCACATCTCATTCACCTTTGTCTGCCTCGACGGTGCCTGGGACAGTGGCTGCAAGAGGTCCCTGTGTTGAGAGGGTGCTCTTTAATGGCTATATAAGCTCCTGATTCTCTGTCCACATCCCAACCCTCCACGCCGCCCACACACCTGAGACCTGAACCACTTAATGTTTGTAATTTAGACTATGAGCTTTCCGGGAGTACTTTCAGACTGGGCTCTCCATTCATGTATTCATTTGACAAACATTTCCTGAGACACAGAGTGAGGAAGGCAGACATGGGGCCTGTTCTCAGGGACTACACCTTCTAGTGAATAGTCGGAGATAACTGCAAAATAAAGAGATTCTTTGGCTGCAAGATGGGAGCTCCAGAGGTGGCCCATGACCAAAGCGCACCTATCAGGGCCACCGCAGACGTGGGCACCATTCCTTCCATCCCCCTGCAGACTGGTTCCTACACGGGCACCTTCCCTACACGATGTTTTTAATGTTTTGTGTTTATTGAGCAACTTGCTATGTGCTGGGCACTGTGCTCGGGGCTCTAGCTCATTCAATCCCATCAGCAATCTTTGTGAGGCAGACACTGTTATTGTGTCTATTTCCCAATGCAGTTAAGTAACTTGCCCACAAACACTTCTACACAGGTCTTTATCCACACATTTATGTTCGTTGGTACACCGAGAAGCTTGTCAGCAGCATAACATTTTAGGAGTTTTTAGTAGACTGTTAAACTCTCTTTGCCTCCTTTTAGAGTAGTTCACTGCGGTATGACATGAGGAGCAGAGAGTAAACTAGGGCAACGGCCCAGACATCAGGTCAGCCCTGAACAGGATGGATGAAGGTCATGAACTCCTTCTCTGGGCAGGGCCACCCTGGAACACCGGGGCATGGGAGGCAGCAGGCCGGGCCTCACAGCCATCCACGAAGTGCAGCTCGGAGGGAGGTCCTGCAGCTTCCCCTCACTGACTCTTCTCTGCAGTGGAGAGGGTGTTCCTTCAAGTTAATAAATGATTAACCTTCACTTTTTACTGTGAATGTGATCCCATTTGGTGAAAGTTCTCTGTTCATTAATACAGCCATCATATTTTAACCTTTGCAAGCAAGTGAATACCTATTCTCCACATGCATGTATGGTACTAAATATCAAAGGGAAAAGAGGGCTCTGAGGATTAACCGAGGTCCTTTGAGATCTTCTGGAGTCAAAGATAAGGAACTAAGTGGAATGAGGCATCCACACAGCTCTCGCAGCCTGGGGCCATGTGCACATGAGGCTGATGCAGTTCACCCAATGGGGATGACAGAAACAAAACTGGCAGGAAGATGTGGTAACCAGGGAGCCAGGTAAAGAAAGGGGTACCGAAGATCTGGTAGAAAAACTAATATTACCTGTTGAGTGTTTTGCAGATGGAAGGTTTCAGGAAGAGCCTAACCACAGAAGTTTCCACAAGCAAGCCAGCTGAAGCTGGTTCTAGCCGCCTCACACTGCTGCAGAATGAACTAGAGTAAACTGTCCTCATTATAGTCTCATTGTAATATTTGGCTCTCCAACCAGGGCAAGACTTATCTGCCATTTTCTACACACGTGATGTGTGAAGAAACGTGATTAATGATTGCGCTTGTGCCTGAATCGTCTCCCCCTACCAGCGATGACAAGAGCTTCCATAATGATTGTTCGTGAATGCTCCCCATAGAAAGAAGCCCCACACTGTGCTCAGGGAGACTATCCCCGGTGTTCTCCATGGCTTTTGTGAGCAATAAACCTCTCTTCACCCACTCCTGCCTTGGTTGTGCCTTTTGGCTCCACACTCACCTGGAGACGAACCCATTGTGTTTGATTACAATGTTTCTGAAATAAACATGTTTTGTACCCATTTCTCTATACATCTCTTTGAAAAACCAGTTAATATCTATTAAATGGATAGTACTTAAATATCTGAAGTGCGTAAGGATGCAAACTAGGGAATCCATCCACAAATAAACAAAGAAAAAAATTCTTGATCAATTTCTCTAAAGACTTTTTTTTTAATAGAAAATATCACCTCTGTTTATTATAAACTTAAGTCTATTTACCTTGCTGTTTTTGGGGGGAATGGCCCTTCTTGGAGAAGACACACTAACGGCTCTGCTAAATTTGCTTTAAAAAGAGAGAGAGAGAATTAATTACTATTCAAATGCCTCTCCAGGAGTTATGCAACAAAGGCCCAGACTGTCACTAACACAGCAGTATGATTTTTCTGTAATACAGTGGTAATTTAAAAACCGAAAAGTCAAGGCAATTGAGAGTTCCTTTTTGTGGAAAACAGCTGTAGTAAGCATAAATGAATCCATTAAAAGTTACGTTTCTCTTTTTCTCAAAATTATACCCCAGGAAATGTGCATTTACCTCCTTAAGTAATAAAAATAAATAAGTAAAAGCCACGCCCCCACCAACAAGACCAAGCACGGTTTTCTAAATTTAGAAATGGCCGTCTATCCTCATTAAAGTAGAAGCTACCCTTTTGCTAAAATGTAGCACTTCCTGTAATAACCGCTCTTAAACAGACGTGGCATGTTTTGTTTCATTTTAAAAGCAGCAACAGAAAAAATAAGAAAATTATCACACAAGGCAATTGTGTTCCAAACACTCTAAAAGAAGAATAGGGAGTTTATCAGCAAGTAGCGGTTGCTGCTTGACGGAAAAGACCACTCAGATTGATCTAGTTATGGAAAGACTCCTCTCTCCTATCTCCAAATTCCCACGGCGATCCTGGATATACCTGATGGAGCTTGCTTCACTGGCTGAGGACTTCGAACCCCTCAGCTGCTTTAGCCTGGCCAGCTTTCTGTTCCAAATTTCTAGCTCTTCTAGTCTTTCTTCAAGGTTGTTGGTTAGTTTGCAGAGCTGCTTCACTGCACCTACATTTTCCATAAAGATCTGGTCCTAAAAATGAAAATAACACAGACCGCATAAATTTACAGTTTGAGACCAGCAGAAAACCGTCTACAGCCCATTAAAAGACAGTTGGAACACACCATTGAAAACGGTTATATACACACAACCTCAAGTTCATTCAAGATGAATCTGGAGAGGCTTGCAACTTAAAATGGTCTGGCTAAACTGCTGGCTGTGTAGTAAAACTGCTTATGTTCAATCTGCAATAAAATGGAAATATGTCCTTATAACCCAAGAGAGAGAATGGAGCTGAAGGACATCGTCGAGTTTGGAATCCAAAGATTTATTTTCAATGGTCATTATGCTATATTTACAACCATAAAAAGGAAATCAGAACAGGCTTCTGAATGTTGATTTGTGTGTGCATCAGTAAATCCTCCTAAGAAAGGATTCCAGTTCCTCCTGGTAAATGTGCATCAAATTGCTTAGGTGAAGGAGGGAGGAAGGAAGACCTGGTTTTTCTCTGAGTTTGGCCACTTCCTAGCTGTGAGACTCCAGGAAAAACATAGCAACCTCTCGGAACCTCAGCTTCTTCGTCTATAAGTGAGAGGATAATCCTTGAGGTGTTAACTTCTGCTTTAGCATCCCGTGAGCTACCAGGTACAATTTATATTTTAGCCTAACTCACAAACAAAATCTAAAACAGCAACAATGCTTAATTCTTCCTGTTCAGAGAAAGTCACTGACATGTCAGAAAGAGCAAGAAAGGGGAGACCAACCAAAGCCATCGTGCCAGCTGTCCCCTCCCCAATTACACACTTCAGTTGTCATAGGAGCATGTGTGTCTGTCTCTCAGCCATAACAAAAACCCCGGAAAGCTCTCATCAGCTCACGCTCTGGTCCCATGACCTCTCCTCCTCTGCCTGTCTCTGTTTACAAGACCAGAACACCAGGGCGCTCCCTGTGGCTCACAGAGGCTGGTCCACCGTTGTAAAGTGATGAGCTCGAGGCCAAAGGAGAAAGACTGCTTTGTGGTTGGTAGATCAAACTCAGGGCTGTGTGTCTTTGAGATTCTCCTCACGCAAACCAAAGCTTTAAGCGTTTCAAACACTGTAAAGCAACTGCTCAGAAAAGACGCAAAAGCTGAACATTACACATTTAAGGCTTAGTTTGTGTGGTTTAAAGACAGAGACACTGGTATAGAACACACTGGTAAAGGTAAGCATAAAGTCAATTTCAGAATACTACAATACTGTAACATGACAGTGTGCAAATCACTTAACTCTAGTACAAAGATTAAAGGACAAAAGTATCAAAAATAACTATAGCTACAATAATTTGTTAATAGTACGCACATAAAAAGAGGTAAATTATGACATCAAAAACATAAAATGTGGAGGGAATAAAAGGATAGAGTTTTTGTATGTGATCAAAGTTAAGTTATCAGTCTAAAAGAGACAATTATATCTACAAGATATTTTATGTAAGCCTCCTGGTAACCACAAAGAAAAACCTACAGTGGATACACAAAAGACAAAGAGAAGGAAATCAAAGCATGCCACCCCAGAAATCATCAAGAGGAAGAAAGAAACAAGGGAAGTGCAAAACAGCCAGAAAACAATAAGACAGCATGAGTAAGTCCTCATCCATCAATAATTACCTCAAATATAAGTGGATTAAATTCCCCAATCAAAAGGCATAGAGTGGCGGTATGGATTAAAAAAAAAGACCCAACTGTATGCTGCCTACAGAAGACACACGTCAGCTTTAAGGACTCACACAGGCTAAAGGAATGGAAAAAATATCCCATGCAAATGGAAACCAAAAGAGAACAGGGTTAGCTATACTTATATCAGATAAAATAGAATTTAAGTCAAAAACTGTAACAAGAGACAAAGAAAGTCATTATATAATGACAAAGGGGTCAATCCATCAAGAGGATATAACAATTATAAATATGCACCCAACATTGGAGCACCTAAATATGTCAAGCAAATACTAACAGACATGAAGAGAGAAATAGATAGCAATACAGTAATAATAGAGGACTTCAATATTCCACTTTCAACAATGGATAGATCATCTAGACAGGAAATCAACAAGGAAATATTGGATTTAAAGTATACTTTAGACCAAATGGACCTAACAGATACATACAGAAATTCCATCCAACAGCAGCAGAATACATAGTCTTCTCAAAGGCACACAGAACATTCTCAAGGATAGATTGTGTTAGGTCACAAAACAAGTCTTAGCAAATTTAAGATTGAAATCATATCAGGTATCTTTTCTGACCACAATGGTATGAAACTAGAAATCAATAACAGGAGGAAAACTGGAAAATTCACAAATATGTGGAAATTAAACAATACACTCCTGAAAAACCAATGGGTCAAAGAAGAAATCATAAGGGAAATCAAAAAATATCTTGAAACAAATGAAAATGGAGACACAACAAGTCAAAATTTATGGGATGCAGCAAAAGCAGGTCTAAAAGGGAAGTCTATAGCAGTAAACACTTGCATTAAGAAAAAAGAAGGACCTCAATTAAACAACCTAACTTTATGCCTCAAGGAACTAGAAAAAGAAAAACAAATTCAGACCAAAGTTAGCAGAAGGAAAGAAATAACAAAGGTCAGAGCAGAAATGAATGAAATAGAGACCAGAAAAACAACAGAAAAGATCAAGAAAACTAAGAACTGGTTTTTTGAAAAGATAAACAAAATTGACAAACCTTTACTAGACTAACTAAGAAAAAAGAGAGAGAGGACTCAAATAAATAAAATCAGAAATGAAAGAGGAGATGTTACAACTGAGACCACAGAATCACAGAGGATCATGAGAGACTACTAAAAACAATTATACATGAACAAATTGGACAACCTAGAAAAAACAGACATTCTTAGAAACATACAACTTACTAAGCCTGAATCATGAAGAAATAGAAAATCCGAACAGATCAATTAAGAGTAAGGAGATTGAATCAGTAATCAAAAACCTTCCAACAAACAGATGTCCAGGACCAGGTGGATTCACTGGTGAATTCTACCAAACATTTAAAGAAGAATTAATACAAATCCTTCTCAAACTTCCAAAAAATAGAAGAGGAGGGAACACTTCCAAACACATTTGAAAAAGTCAGCATTAACCTGATACCAAGGCCAGATAAGGACACTGCAAGAAAAGACAATTAGAAGCCAATAGCTGATGAATATACATGCAAAAATCCTCAACAAAATATTAGCAAACCAAATTCAACAATACGTTAAAAGGATCATACACCATGATCAAGTGGGATTTATTCCTAAGATATGAGGATGGTTCAACATCTGCAAATCAATCAATGTGATACACCACATTAACAAAATGAAGAATAAAAATCATATGATCATCTCAATAGATGCAGAAAAAGCATTTGAGAAAATTCAACATCTTTTCATGATAAAATCTCTCAGCAAATTAAGTATAGATGAAACGTATCTCAACATAATAAAGGTCATATATGACAAGCCCACAGCTAAGGTCACACTCAATGATGAAAAGCTGAAAGCTTTTCCTCTAAGATCAGGAACAAGACAAGGATGCCCACTCTTGTCACTTCTATTCAACATAGTACTGGAAGTCCTAGCCAGAGCAATCAGGCAAGAAAAAGAAATAAAAGGCATTCAAATCGGAAAGGAAGAAGTAAAATTGTCTCTGTCACAGATGACGTGATCTTACATATAGAAGATCCTAAAGATTCCACCAAAAAACTGTTAGAAGTAATCAACAAATTCAGTAAAATTCCGGGGTACAAAATCAACATGCAGAAATCAGTTGCACTTCCATACACTAACAACAAACTATTTGAAAAAGAAATAAAGAGTCCTATTTACAGTAGCATCAAAAACAATAAAATACTTAGGAATAAATTTGACCAAGGAGGAAATTGAAGAGAACACAAATAAATAGAAAGATAATAGAAAGAATTCATATCATTAAAATGCCCACATTACTCAAAGCCATTTATAGATCCAACACAATCCCTATCAAAATTCCAATGGCATTTTTTATAGAAATAGAAAAAACCAACCTAAAATTTGTATGGAACCACAAAAGACTCCAAACATAGAAAGCAATCCTGAAAAGAACAAAGCTAGAGGTATCATACTTCCTGATTTCAAAATGTAATACAAAGCTATAGTAATCAAAAAAGTATGGTATTGGCATAAAAATAGACACATAGACCAATGGAACAGAATTGAAAGCCCAGAAATAAACCCATACATATATGGTCAACTAATATTTGAAAGGGAGCCAAGAATACTCAATAGGAAATGGATTATTTCGTCAATAAATAGTGTAGGGAAAATTGGATACTCACACGCAAAAGTATGAAACTGGACCTCTATCTTACACCACCCACAAAAGTTAACTCAAGATGGATTACAGACTTACATGTAAGACCTAAAACCTTAAAATTCCTAGAAGAAAACACAGGGAAAAAGCTCCTTGACATTGGTCGTGGCAACCATTTTTTGGATATGGCACCAAAAGCAAAGGTGGCAAAAGCAAAAATAAACAAATGGGGCTACATCAAACTAAAATCTTCTGCACAGCAAACGAAACCATCAACAAAATGAAACCATCTTCATCCCTACTGAATGGGAGAAAATATTTGCAAAACATATATCTGATAAGGGGTTAATATTCAAAATATATAAGGAACTCATACAACTCAATAGCAAAAAAACAAATAATCTGATTTAAAAATGGGCAGAGGACCTGAATGGACATTTTTCCAAAGAAGACATACAGAAAGCCAACAGGTACATGAAAAGGTGCTCAACATCACTAATCATTGGGGAAATGCAAATCAAAACCATAATGAGATATCACCTCACACCTGTTAGAATGGCTATTAAAAAGACAAGAGGTAACAAGTGTTGGTGAGGATGTGGAGAAAACGGAACATTTATGCACTGTTGGTGGGAATGTACATTGGTGCAGCCACTATGGAAAATAGTATGGAGGTTCCTTAAAAAAATTAAAAATAGAACTACTATATG